GAAGAGCTGCAGGCTACCGCAGGCAGGCACGGGGACGACCTCCGCAGCACCAAGCAGGAGATCTCTGAGCTCAACCGCCACGTCCAGCGTCTGCGGGCTGAGATTGACAGCGTGAAGAAACAGGTACAGTTCTAATGCAAAGACTCAATGAAGTCCAGCAAATAACTATAAATGCACCTCAGTGTTGTGCTGGATTGAGAATCAATTAATTCAAAGCTTTCTGCACCTATGGCCACGCATCCTGACTGTAGGGTGAAACAAACTGCTCTATGCTCCAGATGGGGAATTCAGCCACTGTTTTTCCTTCCCAGTGTGCCAGCTTGCAGACAGCCATTGCAGATGCTGAGCAGCGTGGGGAGCTGGCCCTGAAGGATGCCAGGGACAAACTGGCTGAGCTGGAGGCAGCCCTGCAGCAAGCAAAGGCAGACCTGGCTCGGCAGCTGCGCGAGTACCAGGAGCTGATGAACGTCAAGCTGGCCCTGGACATTGAGATTGCAACCTACAGGAAGCTGCTGGAGGGCGAGGAGTGCAGGTGGGTGAAATCAAGCTGTGCAGTTGTAAGATCTGCATCTTCCCCCAGCAATATTTTACATATGTTCTGTTGGCTTTTCAAGCACATCTTGTTCATGGTCTCCCCTTAAATGCTTTAAATGTCTTCTTTTGCACAATTCCAGGCTCTCTGGAGAAGGTGCTGGTGCAGTGAATATCTGTAAGTACTTTCCAAAGACAGTTTTGTGACTTTTCCATCTGTCTGCCAGCTGCTCTGTCCAACTGTTTGTGGGTGCCTCTGACGAGTGTGTTCTTTTCTTGCAGCTGTGACCAGAACTGCTGTAGGGTCGGGATATGGAAGTGGGAGCTGCCAGAGTTTCAGAGGCAGCAGTGGGGCTGGAGCTGGGCTCTGTGCTGGAGGAATGAGCTTCAGCTCTGGGAGTGGACAAGGCACAGCTGGGTCATGCGTGGTCGGTGGAAGCAGCTCCAGCATGCAGTACATCAGCAGCTCTTCGACCAAGAGATGCTACTGAAGTCCAGCAGCCGCGTGCCACTCTGTCCCTCATGTTGTGTGCAGTCCTCACCCCATTACTTGCAAAAGGTTTGGAATTCTAAGTTGTCTGCCCTTATTTATGCAAATGCCTTGCTCCTGTTTGTTCTTACATGCTCCAAAAGCCTCACCTCCCAGTGTTTGTCTAATAAAAGGCATATGAAATTCATTCCGTTGCATTCTCCTTTTAATTTCAATGACTTTACACAGCCATGGTGGCACTATCATCTCTTTAGTAGAAGGTGAACACAAGTCACACACATAACAATGGTGATCTCTCCTTCCATGGCAGTCACTTACATTCAGCAGGGAACAAGGACTGGGGATGCCCCATTCCCATTTGTGCAGCAAGATTTTTTGGCATCAGCCTCCAAGGGAAAGGGAAATTTCTAGCTCTTGCCTCATACACCAGAGAAAACATTCCTCTATCCTAATTTATGTCATCCCTCTATCCTAATTTCTGTTGTGGCATCTCACCAGTGTCATGCCAGCTTGATCACCCCCAAAACACTGTAATTTTTCAGTTTTTTATGTGATGACTCATGCAGGGACATAATTCAGTTTTCCCAAGAAGTTCAACCCATGTGTTCTGTACATGCAATAGCTGCAGGGATTAATAAAATGCTGTCATTGGTACCACCATAATTAGAAACTGCAAAAACTCAAAAGCCCCAAACAACCTTTTAGGGAAGAGCCATGTCCAGCGTGACCCAGCCATGCTGGGTAAGCAAAGTGCTGGAGGCAAACTGACTCACTGATCAACTCCTGGCCAAGAGAAAGTGATAGAAAACCCAGTTTCTCATTAATCCTCCAGATGTGAACACAACAGTGCTCTCCCACAAGGAAATGGCCCATTCTCTAACGCCAGCCATACCGTCTTTGGCATCTCTGGACATGATTTCACTAACACAGAACAGAATTCGGCTTGCTGGAGGCCATGCAAACACTATCCAGCAGCAAAAAGGCACCTGATAGCTGCATTTCTACAGCCAGCATGCTTTTTAAATGTAGATACCTCAGCATTCAGCAAGCAAAGCACCCAGGCTCCTCCTGTAGCAAGCAGAAGGGCAGAAGTGCCTCCCAAACTATCCCCTTCATCACAAGAAGTCATGTTTGCAAAGTAGAGGATCAAGCCATCACCTCCAGCTGCCCCTTGCCTCGACCACATGTTACTCCTGGGTGCAAAGTCAGGTTTCCCTTAGCAAAGCCATCAAATTGCTGTTTTCAACATCTTCACCACTCCCCTAGTGGCAGCTTCAGTTCCATCTGCTTTGAACTAAACAGGCAGTGACACCAAGATAAAAGCAAGCCTAAAGGGAACAATCAGAGGTACAGATACATATTTTCCCAGCAGACATCAGCACCCTGAAAAATACAGGCTGGAAAATTTGGGTAGTTTTATGAGCCTGGAGGTTGCCAATATGGTACACCAGAGAGTTGGGTGATTAATGAGCTGGAAATGCGGCCAGGTGCGGCGCTGAGAGCTGATACACTTCGTGTGGCACTGAGCTACATGGGTTAGTGGGCACAGTGCTGATGGCTTGATGGTTGGACTTGATGATCTTAGTGGTCTTTTCCGGCCTTAATGGTTCCATGATTTCACCACCCAGCCCTTTGCACAAGACCAGAACACAGAAGGATTTAAGGCAGGGATCACTTCAGAGCCAAACCTGGAGATCATTGTCCCTCTGCCATCTCATCCCTCTGCAGCCACACTGAAGTCAGCCAGCCAAGGTCAGGACCAGTGAGGGGTTTGGTGTCGTTTCCGCACTGTGCCCATTGCTCAAAGCATCTTCAGCTCCATCTCCTTGTCCCACAGCAATGGGGGAAGTGTGGGATGGATCTGCAGTGGATTTGGCAGCAGGAGCCTGCCCAGACCAAGGGGAAGCAAGCAAGAGGATTTCCAGGAGCAGAGGGCACTGCTCTGCCAGGTCAGGGTGCAACCGTAGTGTGAGTGATGGAGGGTTTGGGTTTGGAAGATGTGGCCCCGCAGGTATTCAAGGGATTGTGGTCAACCCAAACCTCCTGGTCAGTATTAACTTGCAGATCAGCCCCAGTGCAGTGAGTGCGCTGGGAGAAGAAGGATCAGATCAAAGCCCTCACCAGCAGATTTGCCTCTTTCATTAGCAAGGGGAGGCTCATTTCATTCATCCATCCTGGCATAGTTATCATTATCTGCAGAGTGGGATCAGGACTGCTCTCCATGTCAGACATTCACTTCCAAATCCCTGATAAAGAGGTCAGGCGCTTAGTAAGTAGGGCTGGATAAGGAACACACTATTTCTCCAGATTTCTTTGCAACTGAACACTGCTCCTCCTATCCAAACTTCTCTACCAATGAGCCATCACTGATGCTGAAGGCCACATGGGACAGTGCAGACCATGCACAAGGCAAACATGTCAAGATCACGTAAGCAACAACACACAACAGAAGGAAAGAACCCCATCCACTATTTTCTCCATTCTGTCTTCTTTCTGGAAGAGTTTAATATGCAAGGCAACCCAGAACTGTGAGACCTCAGCAAGGACTAACCTGGCCCTGCATTCTTCAGCTGCTGTATAAATAGCAGCACTCTGTATGACATCTGCCTTTTTTTATTATTGTTATTATTTCTACTGCTTTTTTTTTAAGCTAGGAGCACACTGACCACTTCTTACTGATGTGGGTTCCTTTCCAGGAGAGAAAATTTGCCAAAAAAAACAAGGATTAATTTTAAGTGTGAACTTAAGTGCTCCTTTCTCTCTCTAAAATAATAGCACCCCTCACTCCTGATGGTTGGGTTCCAGCACTGCTGGAAGCCAGGAGGTAATTTCCAGCCCATGGAAAGTCTCTGAAGGTTTCAGCTCAGCTCATTAACTCTTTAGGAGGAGCTGCTCCTTCTCATCCACTCCATGCACTTTGGAAAAACTTCTGTCAAGCCTCAGAGTCTGCTACCATACCCCCGGGGGATGTACTGCGTAATGGATTTTAGTAAGTAAGGAGCTTAAATAGTTGGTGTGGAACCAGAAAAACAAGAGAGGAGAGTAAGGAGCAACTCAGCACCCTCTGCTCTGCCCTTCTGGGGAGGGAGATCATGGTCTGACACCTCTGTCACCTTCAGCAGCAGGACAGGTGAAGACATTTTAGGACAGGATACATCTCTTTCTCCTTTAGCTTCAGCAGGAAGCCCCAAATCCTCCATTTGCAGGAAGATGAATGGGGGTGAATCCTGGCTGTAAGCCCAACCCCACCAGTCAAATTGGAGGCAGTAACATCAGCAGGGTTAAAAACACAAGGAAATCAACCCTGGTTCAGTGCCATTGTCCTTAGCTCCCCCCAGCCTTTGTATGGAAGAGGGAGAGAGGCAAAAAAGAGTTCAGTTTGGATTCTTCTACTTGTACACATTAAACAACGCTTCCTTCTACAGCCCGGTGCCCTGCAAACATCAAATGATTGGTTCTGCTTCTCTCTTTCATGGTCACTATAAAAAAGGGAGGTTTGCAAATGCAATTGTTATGGGGCCAAGGATTCCCTCCCATTCAGATTAGAAACACAGCCCAGAACCCAGCGACAGATATGTGCTTAAAGGCAGCTCAAGTTGCTCTTCAGCAAAGGAGAAGAGTGGGATATTACCAGATACCCCAAGCTCATGAATGTGGTTTAAAATGACCATTTGGGGATGGTTGTGCAGCAAAAGCCCATTTTGGGGGGAGAAAAGAGGGTGAAAGCTCTGCTCCTCATTCCGGAGTTTCCAGCAAGGCCATCTTTCGTGCATTGCCTACTCCTCCCTCCACCTTCGCTCCCCTTCAAGGCAGCCACGATGGCTTTGCCAACCCCACCTAAAGCAGAAGGAGTTTCAGCTCCTGCTCTGCTGGGATCCTCAGGAGCAGGAGGAGATCCTCCACTGATTCTTGTGCCATGGAGCTGGTGGCAGAGGGTGCCCAGGACTGAGGTGTGTCAGCAGCATGAGCCTGGGTGGCAATGCAGAGATACGGCCACGGCTTCTCTGGCACTGGGTTCGGCTATGGAGGCACTGGCTTTGGTTATGGGGTCAATGGACCCCAGGGGGTCTGCACATCCATTGCCCAGATCCCCATCAAGCTCAAGCTCCCCATCAAGCCCCAAGAAGCTCAGGATGGAGATGGAACCAGTTTTGCTACCTGCAGACAAGTTGGTTCTTTAAGCCTCATTTTTTTACATCCTTTGAATCCTAACCTGAAGCAGAATTACCCCTGCTTTATCCTATCTCAGTTATGAGTGACTTAGGGCTTTTCATGTAACAGCAGAGACATTTTTCAGAACAGCCTTCTCATGAGGAGATGTCACTTGACAGATTTCGGCTGTCTGCTTTCTGCATTCACCCACTGCTATCCTGAACAATACTGATTTCATCTCTCAGTTTGCCACTTCTGGGACTGTAAATGTCCCCTTCTGTATCACAGGTAACAAATCTTTACACTTTGAATTTCAGGTCCCACTGCTGGAGCAGTGCAACAAGGGGCTGGAGACCACATGGGGATTTCTGTGGGAGCAGAAGTGTTACAACAGCAATGCTGAGCTAACATTGGGAACTTCTATTGCCAACTGGGAGAGGCAGCAGGATGTTCTGGGAAAGGAAAGAGCCAAGCTGGCAACAGAACTGAGCAATATGCAAGGTATCGTGAAAGACTGATAAATACAAGAAAAAGGAAGTTCGTTTGAAAACAAAAGCTCCAAAGCTAGAGCTGGAATGGATCTGGTTCATTTTAAGTCAGCAGAGTTGCACAAGATACAACGCCACCAGTGATGTCCATCTGTATGATTTGTGTTGGCAGCTGTGTCCATGCTGGGGCAATTTGGAGATGAGGCAAGAGGAAGAGATCAAATTCTTGCCTAGGTTGAATAAAGAGGAGCAAATTTATGTTTTCTCTTCCCTTACAGGCAAGGAGAGGAAAGGTGTGCAGGAAAGGAGTGTGTTCTGCTCCAAGAGCTGAGGGCATTTCAGACCTACTCAAACGCTTCTTTGGTGTTTGATAGGAACAGCAGTGAAAATTGCTGGAGAGATAGCAGTGAGAATGCATCTCACTCTCCAGAGACTCTAGAGGGACCTGCAGGCCAACTTTAGGGAAGATTTAATTAAAAGAGTTGAATCCCACCTTCAGTCAGTTGTTTGCAGCTCAATTTGGCCCTTTGGGACATTTGTGTACCTCAGCTGGTCAAACCCTTCTCTGCTCTGCCCAGCAGTGTTCCTCTCGTGCCTAAGAGGATGAGAGAGGAAATCCATTTAATAACACAGTAAAACTCATGTCCTTGAAAGGAGCAGCGCTGGGAGCTGTAATCCCATTGCATGTGGCATTAAGCAGAATGCTCCTTCATTGCATAAACCCTTCTGATGTGCTTGGGGACATGGATAGTGTCTCCATGAGCAAAGCCGAGCTGGAAGCTGAGGTGGAGTCCCTCACCCATGGTCAGCCTCCAGAGGAGCCCATAAGCAGAATAACGACTTTACTCTTCCTCCAACTCATGCCTCTTGGGGAGGCCCACAGAGTTCAGCTCTTACAGCCCATCACTTAAGGTCAGGAAGACTTTTTGTGTTCCGTGCATACATCAGACCAGTCCTCCACCTTTCAAAGGCACTACTGTTGCATTGCATGGGCAAGATCCTAAGGAATCTGTTTCTGCAATAGAAATGGACAATTGCTCACCTTGTTGCTGCTCCCAGGGAATCACTCGGATCCAGGCACCCACTGTGGGCAAATCTGTAGGAATTTTCAAATAATATATGAAGACAAAGCCTGGAGATGGGTGGCAGCACTGCTGTCATCCAAAGCTTTTCGATGTCCAAAGCTTCTGGACACTGCTAAAAGAAGCTGGGCTGACAGAGTCTTACAACAACAAGGGACATTCACAAAAGGATTTATGCCCTACTTTTGCTTCTACCAATCTCCCAAGTTGGGCTGAAGGTGCTCTTTAAAGGTCTCTTGTCCCAGCCATGTGTTGTTTGGGACATTCTCTGCTAACACATAGCTGCTATGGTGTAAATGAGTCAGCTGTGACACCAGTGTTGAAGATCTCAGCCTTATAGCTTGAGACTGGGGGCTGCAACCCCAGCACCCCACAGCAGTTCTCATCACTGACATCTGGTATTTATTTTCCTTGCATTTTCTCTCTCCAGAGTATGAGGAACTGAGAGAAGCTGCTGGCAAACATAGCTTGCGTAACACAAAAACCCAAAATTACGGAGCTGAATTGGGTGATTCAGAGGCAACTGGAGAACATGAAAACACCAAAGCCCAGGGAAGGATGACTCAAGTTCAGTAATGTGCCAGTGGTAATTCCCAGGCTGTGGATTTCCAACTCCTCCACGAGAGAAAGGGAGCAATTAAGGTCGTTTTGATCATAGAATCACAGAACCATTTGAGCTGGAAGGGACCTTTAAAGGCCATCCAGCCCAACTCCCCTGCAATGAACAGGGACATCCACGGGCTGATGAAACACACATCAGCTGCTCGACTCTTGCACTTGCCGATAATCCAAAGTAGAGAGCAAAACGCTCTGTGGATGCTGGTCCAGCCTGCAGGAGGTTTACATGGGGGAATCAGCAATGCACCCAAGCCCATCAGCTCCTTTTACAGCCACCACCTCAGTAAGTGTAACCACAGGAGGCATCGGGGACAAGAGCACCATCACTCCAGATGCTGCTTGTACCACTGCACAGTGCTGTGAGTAGGAAAGAGCTCCAATATCCAAGGTGCGTCCTCTACAGCCTCCTGCAGATCAAAATACTCAAAAAAAAAAAAAAAGGGGGGGGGGGGGGGTCACTGCATGTCTCACCCCCCACACACACTTCTTCCATTTTCACCACTCACCCAAGCATACTACTCCAATCCTGCTCAAGACAATTGGCACTATCTGGTTTAACTGAGCTAGCTCAAAACATCTTGGTGGGTTTTCTTGGAGTCCAACATCATGCTCTGCTGCTTTGCCCCATTGAACCAGAGGATCGGAAGATTCATTCAGGGACCCCTCTCCTTTTGGGATAGGAACACTGCATGGCCACCCACCCCTTACAACCCTTCCCCTCAAATTTCTGTCCAAAAGTGCTGTACAGTCGCACTCAGTGTTACTTGCCTCAATAACATGAGAAAGTGTTTTGCAAAATGAAGGAAAAAACGGCATTTAGAGGATGTGGAAGGAGGAGATGCACTCACAGAGCCATGAAATGCAGCTAGAGCCCAAACTGGAACAAGGTGACCTGGCACAGGAGGATGAAGGACACTGTGGAATCACCAAATTTGCTCCATCCTCTCATGCACCATCCCTGGAAAGTCTTTGAGGGCCCTGGAGCCGAGGAGTCCAGTGAGGCTACTAATTTGGGCTTGCAATCAACCACTGAACAAGGAAGGGGAAAAATGCAGTAAACAAAACCCAACCATTAGCTTGGAACTTCCACCCTGCCCCTAGAAAGCATGCTGCCCTCCCACACAGCGACGCGGGCTCCAATGCCGTTCCCATCTCTCCAAGCTGTGGACACACACATGTGAATATCAAAGGTGGGAGGAATGGAGCCCCGATGCCTCAGTGAGGGCACTCACCCAACGTGGGAGGCAAAGGAGTGAGCCCCAGGCAATGAAGGAGCCTTAGAGCTGAGGGACAAGGAGACAGCATTTTTTTCTGAGAATTTGGCCAATTTGGAACACCCTCAAGAGCCACCATGTTCCAAATGCACATCTCTGTTTCAACTGATACCCCACAAAATGTTACGATGGAAAACACTCTCACCAGTAATATACAGACAAAAACCCTTGACAAATAGACCTGGTCCCAGTGACGTTTGCCTTCAAGGACGTTGCCTTTCCATAGGCAAAGCCAATACGAAGCTGTCATCTATCGCTAACCTGCACACAAGGCTTCATTTGCTAGCTCTCAATGAATTCACCTTTAGTACTGATGCTATTTATTGAACATCTGGTTGTGTCGTGGACTCATTCAGGTTGGAAAAGACCTCCAAGACCTCCCAGCCCAACCCCAACCCACACCACCATGCCCACTGACCATGTCCCCAAGTGCCACATCTCCATGGTTCTTGAACCCCTCCAGGGATGCTGACCCCACCACCACCCTGGGCAGCCTGCACCAATGCATCACCGCTCTTCCAGAGAAGAAATAATTCCTAATATCCAGCCACATTCTCCCTCAGAGCGCTTACTCACAAGCTGATGTAGCAGCAAAATGTAAAGCAAGGGAAGCACTTTGATGAGTGAGAACTTGACATCTTTATCCAACCCATAACAAGGCAAAATCTTTTACATTCCTGAAAACAAGGAGCACCAGCACAAGCCATGATTTTCACTGTGATTACACAAGACTTCAATATGACCCCACTGACTTAACAGCAGTCCTCCATTGCGTTATGGGGCAAATCTGCTTTCTCCATTGGTGAGCACAATGTATGCTAAGCAGCTCCTACTCTGCATCGTAAACATCTTGTGGAAGTTTCATGCAGCCTCGCCCCGTTTTCCACAAATAAAAGGAAGAAGGTTCTGCACTGGAGGCAGAGGGAACTGCACTGGGGCCCAGCACACCACCTGCACCCAGCCCTCCTCACCAGCAGCCATGTCCTGCTCCTATGGCACCAATGTTGCTCGCATTGGCAATTTCAGCTCATCCTCTCTTGCTCTTCCCAGGAATGGGCAAAGCTTTGGTAGAGTCTTGTGTCGCCAACGTGGGTTGGGTTCCTTCAGCACCAGGAGCCTCAGCGGTGCAGCATCTTCCAGGCCCAGAATAGCTGTAGGAAGGTGTCCTCCTACAAGATGTGGATATGGTTTTGGTGCTGCTGGAGCTGAATTTGGCTGCAGAGGTGCTGGCTTTGGTTACAGGGTTGGTGGATCCTCCGGGCTGTGCACCATTGTACCCATCACTGTCAATGAGAAACTGCTACAACCACTCCAACTGGAGCTCGACCCCAATGTGCAGACCGTGAAGTACCAAGAAAAGGAGCAGATCAAGACCCTCAACAACAAATTTGCTTCTTTCATTGAAAAGGTGAGCAGAGAAACCCTCCCCAGCTCCAGGCCCAGGGAGGTCTAGCACGGAAAGGGCGAGGAATCTGGGTTATACAGCTCTGTTTTAGACACTGAGGATAACTTCAGAATGTCAGTTGAGCACGGAGGTGTTCTTTTCTAGAAGTGTTATGAGTTTGATTTCCACAAGGCTTACCCACAAAAACCATATGCACAAAAGAACAGTAGAGTAGGAAACATTGCATTCAGGCGCACCAAGAGCTGCATTTTAGGGCTGTTGCGTGGACATCACCTCTCACAACCACTTAACCCTCATCTTATTTCCTATTTTGCTTTCTGGGATTCAGGTGCGATTACTGGAGCAGCAGAACGAGGTGCTGGAGACCAAGTGGAACTTTCTGCAGGGTCAGAAACATTGCAGGAACACCATCGTGCCCATGTTGGAGGCTTGCATCGGGAACTTAAAGAAGCAGCTGGAAGCGCTGGGGTGCAACAGAGCCCAGTTAGAAACATGCCTGAAAGCAGCCCAAGAGGCTGTGGAAACCAACAAGAAAATGTAAGTAAGTGAGAACATTTTGATATAATAAATTGTCCCCAGAGAACAGGATCATAAAACCATGTCACAGTTTACAGTGGACCAAACAAAGGACACATCTCTTCTAGATTCTCTCATTCTTTCCTAACTGGAGGAATTAATGCAGCAATTTCAAGTGTTCCTCTGTTCTCTGGAGCAGAAGTCAAATCAGAACAGTTCTGCTGCAAATATGTAAGAACACCAAAACCTCTGTGAAAGCAAGCGTGCTTTCCCATGGGCTGAGAAACAGAACAAAACATCCCCAAATATCATCTGGGGAAAAGGGGGAAAAAAAATAGGAGGGGTTCCATTTCTTGAAGTAAGCCTGCAGAATCCCAAACAAAGATGTAATTGCGCTGAGCTTGAAGTCTCCCATTTTCCCATGCAGGTATGAGGATGAATGCAGCCAACGGAGCTGCACTGAGAAGGAGTTCATTGCCCTGAAGAAGGTGAGCAAAGGCTGTTTGAAACCTCTTGTTGTGTCCAGGTCCTTCGGGTGCATGCAGGCAGTGATTTCTTTCCCCCAAAGCATTGCACAGAACAAGTACCAGCAGGAGCTGGTGCTCAGGTGTGCTTGAACTCAGACCAGCAGTACTTGTGCAAGTGGGAGCTGGCGTGCAGCCACGCTACCTGCACCCAGTCCCCCACCCTAAGGGCAGCCCTGAGTCGGCTCTCACTAATCAGCTTCCACTAATCAGCTTCCTTCTTCTCTCCCCACTGCCACGTCAGGACATGGACTGCTTTTTCTTAAGCAAAGCAGAGCTGGGGGCCAAGGTGGGAAGGATGGAAGGAGAGTTTGACTTCCTCAGGTTGCTCTATGAGGAGGTAAGCAGCTCCCCGTTGCTTCAGCTCTGCGATTCTCTGGCAGATCTGGGAGGTCTATCCTGAAGGACAGGGGAAGAATGGGTAACGTGGGGCAATGGTCAGCCCTTATGGTGAACGGGGAGCAAGAATCCAGCCGTGTGGTCACTGAAAAGCGGGGAGCAAGAGTACGAATGGGGTTGGATGGGACCACAGCAGTGCCAGCATCTCATTGTCACCTCTAGGAGAGCCACCAGCTGCAGGTCCACATCTCAGACACGGCAGTGGTTGTGCAGATGGACAACAGCCGGGATCCTGATCTGGATGGCGTTGTTGCCAACGTCAAGGCTCACTATGAGGACACTGCCTGCAGGAGCAGAGCAGAAACTGAAGCCTGGTGTAAAGGCAAGGTGAGAAAAGCAGCCAGGAGGAGGGTGTGGGTGCATCTTTCCTCTGAAAACCCAGAGTTGCTCTGATTTAACTCAAAGCACGTGCTTTTGGGAATGCACAACCCACATCTTTGGGGCTTTTGCAGTTTGAGGAGCTGCGAGTTACTGCAGGCAGAAATGCTGACAGTCTGCAAGAGAAAAAAAGAGAGGCGGCCGAGCTGACACGGGTGGTCAAGAAACTGAGTGGAGAAGTCAGGAGTGCCAAGGAGCAGGTGAGTACCACCAGGTCTGCTGGAACCATCAGAGCAGAGTAATGCTGAATTGTTGTTCCAAACATGTCACATTTACAAATACCAAGAGATGTTTAAGGCTGACCACATCTTTGTAGTGCTGCAAACTGGAAATGGCCGTGGCTGCTGCTGAGCAGCACAAGGAAACGTCCATCAAGGATGCAAAGAGCAAACTCACCAAGCTGCAGGCGGCTCTGCAGAAGGCGAAGCAGGACCTGGCCCGGCAGCTGCGCGAGTACCAGGAGCTGATGAACATCAAGCTGGCCCTGGACATCGAGATCACAGCCTACAGAAAGCTGCTGGAGGGTGAGGAGAGCAGGTGGGTGGCAGATAGCAACACAAGACCCTTCAGATCCATGTGCCAGCATGGGAAAACCAACTGGGCAGTGCTTTTCAGAGCTGCCCTGTGGTAAATCACAGATCAGCTCTTCCCATCAGTCCCACCACACCTCCACTGGTGCAAACAGAGGCTGTCCTGCTGCCTGCAAACGTTTGAGGCTCACAGGGCTCTGCATGTGAACACACATAACCAAGTGCAACCTTCCCTCTACAGGCTCTGTGCAGAAGGAGGCATCCCTGTCAACATCTGTAAGTTGGAGCATAAAACTTCTTCCAAGCTTGGGCATCTCCTGCCTTTTCTCCCAGCAATTCCCTAAGCTGAAACTCAGCTTTGCCTTCCACAGCTGTCTGCCATTCCCAAGGAGGTCTCGCCTACAGCCCAGAACCCAGCTTTGCTGGGTCGGCCAATGGAAGCTCACGCATTAGGAGTGGGAGCACCCACATGAAGGTTGTGTCTGTGGGCAAGTCAACTGTGTAAAGAGCTGCAGATGAATGGCAAGGCTGGAAACGAAGCACAATGCACACCCTTCTGCCTACACACAGCAAGAGCCTGGCTGCTGCAGGAGCACACGCACCCAGCTCCCCTACACTGCACACCTATTTTCCATGCAAAGGGATACAAAAGGCAAAGAGGGGTATTTCTGTCGAAGAGATTTGCTGTTTCTGCTAGGGAATTCTAAGAGCAAACCCCAAAACTTCTTCACAATCCCCTTCTTACATGCAATCCACATAAGAGACCCTTGGTGTAATTCCTTGCTCTTTCTGCTCCTACAGACTGAAGGATCAGGATGAGGTGTAGGGCAGAACAGCTGCCACCCATGAGCTTCTAATTAGGCCTTCATTCAGCCCTCTTGTGTTAGCAGCTCCCATACATAACCTATTGCTATAACCTAGTTATATCAGCCATCCTGATTTACAGATACACCTCTGCCATCAGCAGAACTCACCCAAAATTGCCTAGTTTCCCTACACATACCAATTTCACATCCCAAGGAGTGGATTTCAATGGCTGTTGCTGTTTGGAGGCAGTTTGCTTTTTATTTGCATTACCTCTTTGGAAACCAATCCTCGACTTTCCCTTTTTCTTCAGGGTTTGTAATGGCCCAGCTCATCTGATGCCGTAAATACCATCTTAAATTAAGGATCTTGGGGCCTAAGCCCACGTCAAAAGTGACAGGGGCTGATCCATCAATAATCCTGGCCACAGGTCACAAAAGTCCTCTGCTGTCGTGCGCAAGGGATCCAGACCCAGCCTTAAACACCTGGCATCAGGTGGCCAATCACCTTTTCAATTCGCCAGTACCTATTAAGCAGAGCTGCTGGTGTAAATGCATTTATACTTTCTGAGGTCTGGGAAGGGGAGAGGATGCGGTGATTTATTTCTAATGACTTCACATTTTGTCCGCAATGCTTGTCAATGGCTTTCATCCCACTTACAGTCTTGCATCTCCAATAAATCTTCAGAGCAATTCAGTTACCCAGTGACTTCTTCTTGGGGAGAAGGAGGGTTGGTTTTGTCTTTGCTCCAGGATCTCGAATGCCAACACTCACAGGGGTCTGACAGGCGGGTCCAAGCCCCACATCCCCTGACAAAGCCCTCCCATTAGTGGTCTCCCATATCCCTCAATCTACCGACATTCTGCATGCAAGGAGCTTACAAACCTCCCTCCAAAGCACCAAACCTCTCTCCAAGGCACAGCTCTCTTCTTGCATGCACGGGGCAGGAGCCAACTCATGGGGTTACACATCTTTATTAAGGCAGGGTGGAGCTCCAAATAATTTTCCTCCCAGGAAAAAAAAGAAACCAAAACAAAACACCATTTAGAGGGCACTGACTAAGCAAAGATGCTCTCGCAGTTTGCATAAAGCTAACTGAAACTTCTCATTACCACCATCGATGCCTAAATCCCCTGAGAACAGCACTGACTGCCCCAACTTGCCCAGGATCTCTTTGCATCCTGATGGCAGGAGCTGCTGGGTGGTTTGGGGCCAATTTGTCCTCTCTTTGCTCTGGTACCAGCTCTCAGTCCACACTATAATGCAAACACTCCAGCACCAGAGCACAGAGCATCCTCTTCCCCCAGTAGAGCCTGGGGAACCTCTTTTCCTCTTCACCAGATGGAAGGTTGGCTTTAGAACCTCATCAAGCCAATTAGGCTCCCCTGGTGCATCCCATCTTCCCAAGAGATGTGCTTCCACCTCACTCTTCTGTGCCTGCTAGAGCTCAGACCCAGCCCAACCCATAACAATCACAAGCTGACAACCTCAGTCAAGCCCAGAGCAGGATTTTGGCCTTTGTAGCTGGTGAAAAACTGATGGAAAACACAAAACAAATGCAATTGGAATGCAGGGGAGCTGCAGAAAGCCCCAGCACCCAAAGCTTTCCTCCCAGTCATTGTTGCCCCCAAGTCCTCACTGCTCTTCTGCCTCAGTTTCCCCATAGACAATAACAGAACTTACCTCCTTTGTAAAACCCTCTGCTGTCTGGGGACAGCATGCATCTCCAAAGCTCTCAGTCCCATTGTTACAGCAACACACATCCACAGCCACATCCTGGTTGCTGCTGGAAAGAGAGCATCAGAGGAGGGGAGAAACAGAAGGGCTGAGAACAAGCAGAGCAGCAGAAACACTCAAAGGAGCACTGGCTTAGAGAATCAGATAAATTGCATTATAAAATATACTTAAATATTATAAATGCACATAAATGTTATGCATTTTATCCCACAGAAAGCAGGAGGAAGAGGTTGAAGCACCCTGAGCTGCAGCAGATAGCCTGGATGTACATTGCACAGACACCAGCAAAGCTGGAAGAAGGAAAAAAAACATTTCGCTGCCTTATGTTCAGAAAGCAGCCAGATTTTATTGTATTCCAGTTGGTAGGGAAAAAAGCAAACCCTACTGACCATGAAATCAGCTGGAAGTCTTTAAGATGTGTAAGGCATTTGCATGGAGCATCCTGTCCAGCCATTAATGTGCTGGCATGGGGGCAGAGGCATTGATGTCTGATTTTAAGAGCAGCAAAGGGCTTTGAGCTGTACTGTGGGAGGCTGTAATTAATCACACAGCTGTGTGCAGAGAGATGGATGTGATCCTGCCTTGTATCCCTGCCCTGATCACAATGGCAGGGACAACAGGCTGGGAGGGGAAACTTGGCATCACCCTTCCCCGGGAGGTGAACAAAGAAGTGCCTCTATTTGGATCAGAGGACTCACACATCCAAAGAGGGATTCCCTCTGCAATTCTTTTGCTCCCTGTTGGGCTCCATCTTCCCCTTGACTCCTCTCTTTGCAGAACTCAACAGCCTGCAGTGCTCCACGTCCTCTGAGTCCCAGTTCACAGCTCCTCCAGGATCTATAGCAGCTGCTGGGGCCGCTCCAGCACTTGCACCAGGCATGTTCCCAGCTCTCAGCTCCCAGGAACACCCTTAGCTCAGGACTGATGCCCATTTCAGGCACTCATTATTCATCTTAATCACTGCTGCAAAACAAGAGGCCAAAACAAAATCCTTCTCGGTGCTGCGGTGGGCGCTGGGTCACACCTGTCTCCTTCTGGAAATGCAAACACCTCACCCACTGCAAAACTGTTCCTGAATTACAGCTCCTGAATGCAACAGGAGGCTCAGGACACACCTGGCTTTGCACTAATTTAATAAATAGAGGTTACATTCCGACCAGACCCAAGGAATGAGCCAAAAACATGAGGTGCATCCATCCCCGTGGCCTCGCAGAGACATGAAGCACCTGAAGGGTGCAGATCCCCATCTCCCCAGCAGCGAGCATTGTTCTGCGATGTGGGAGAGCAGCAGCCACACCTCCCACATCCCCCTTCCCAGATCATCGCTGCACACAATTCTACAGCAGAGACAGAGCTTCCATTCCCAATTAGGCATCACAGAGCCATGCAAATGACAGCAAGCAGCAGCCTCCGCTGCCCAAAAACCATCTGGGCAAGGCCTTTCTTTGCACCCTTTGTTTGCATTCACTCCAGGGGATTCCTTTTTGCATTTCACTCCCTCGGTTGTGCCATGAAAGAGGTGAGCTGGGTGTGCCAGGCTGATAGCAAGGCTCTGCTGGGCACACGGGGAGCTCCCCTCCCTGCATTAATGCCACGTGTGCTGTAGAACCACACACCCAGCCTGAGCACTGCACTCATGCAGGGGGCTGGGATGACAGGGTAGGGTTTGCCACGGGCACAGCATCTCCCAGGCTTTAATGGTCTCATAGCCACCGTGGTGCTGCAGGAAACAGCTTTTCTCACTGACTACAGGAATTTCAGCCTGGTCCCATTTCCATCCCATGGGATGACACCTTCAGCACTGGGGACTCACCCCACATCTGCACACACTGCTCACCTGTGCTGCCCCAAAAGGAGCAGCAAGGAGCTGTGTGAGTCCTTGTGCAGATTCATTTTGCTGAGCTTTGGGTGCTTGCAAGCAAAGCGTTTCTCCCAAAGTTTGGCTCCTCTCTGCTCGGCATACAGTGCTCAGAGAGGGGTCGGTGCCAACTGGTTCCAGTTGTGCTGAGGGCTGGGCTGAGCCAAGTTGAGGGAACAAAACCAGTCCCATCACCCAAACCCAGTGAAAAGCAGGGGAATAAATTCACCCATGGGTGAGACTGCAGGCAGCAAACCCCAAATCCTCATCCTGACCACAGAGTGGCACTGCTCCAAGGGACACAGCCTGCAGGGAGGCGAGGATGGGGATGGTTCTCCAGGCTCTTGAGCAGCAACACACGAGGAAATCAGCTGGGACTGAAGAAGCATACAGCAGGGCAACTTTATTAACGGCCTCATGGCAAACTCCCAGACCACAAAGGTATAAAACATCGACCAGAGATACGCTGCTAGGACACGGCAGAGCACGCAGTGCAACAAATCCCATGCAGTTTCTTTGACTTGTTTATTTAAAAATTCTTCCCACCGCAGTAACAAACTATTTCCCCGGCGTGTTTAGGTTGAAGACTCATTTTGGCAGGAACAAGGAGTTATTGTAATGAAGCACCAACAAAACACGCTTTTTTCCCACTGGTAGGAGAGACCCCGGATATCACTAGTAATGCTCTGCAATATAGGGTAGTAAACAGAGGCACCCAAGGGTGGGGAGTGCTATCTCCCATTTCAGTGTGCTGCTTGTAATTTTAAGCAATTTCCATACCCTTTAGGCTTCAGACTTCTGTTAAGAAGACAGAAAGGGTGAGTTTGTGAGTTATTTTGTTATACAGAACCTATAAAGGAGATCTGTCTGCATTGCCTTCAGTAAGAAATTAGCTTCCATTAGACCAGAATTGTCCAATTCCATTTCTGAGCCAATTTCTAAAGAACATAAGGAGAAACCCAAAGCAGTTTCACTATTTTCTTCCTGGTATATTTTAAGAAAACAACCCCAGACTGAAATCTCAGTCAGGGCTGGCACTTTCTGAGCAGCCCAAGGGAATGAAGTCTTCCAAATCATATTCAGAGGGAGATAATCTTCTGGTCTCT